CACATGTGTTGCTCTTAGTAATTTCAATTTAAAAGGGATTTCAATAAATTGATAAACACTATACTATCTGTTAGTCTCAGTTTGTAGTAGAGTCAAGTTTCCAGCAATCTTGTTTAAAAGATTTGGGAGAATGTTCAGGTAAACACCAGTTCACCAAACCAAAAGGTTGGCCTTTAGGAGCATATTTTATTACCATAAAGGTCTAGAAAACTCTTTGGTTGAGAACATTACTAAATTAGCAAAGCATTTTCTTGGACATCATGGTTTATGCTGGTGCTTTCTTTGCCTTATGTTGTGTTTTAAGCTCTGTATTTGTATTTTATTTCAAAAATATTTGTGAATGCATGGAAGGGGTTACTACTGAAACTGACACTCTGCTTGATGCAGTGGGAAATGATAAACTAGGGCGTATGAAACTGACTAGAATTGCAGTAATAACAAAGTTCAGCGATGAAATTGCATTCAGTTCTGCTCTCATCCTTCGTAGTTCACAAGCCTTTTGGCTTCTGCCCATGTAAATTGTCAGGTTTTCAGAAAATGTTCCATTATTCTACATGTACTAGTTAGTCATCTCTACCAGCAGAAGTAGCTGCTGTTCTTAATGAATAATTTACAAGATTGATCATTCACATTGCTCAGTAATACAGTGTCAGACATATAGAATGACAACACGCAATGTTATCTAGCTCTAACATCTACTGTGATTGATCTCCAGTATAAGTTGCACGTGATGCGTTCACCTGGTTTGTATCATTTATATTGTATATGTACATTATTTTTATAGTGATATTTGGTTCAGATTGATGCTTGCCTTTGGATGCAAATATTTGGATTCAGAATATTAATTTTGAATTCAACAAGAGCTTGATTTCCAGATCTTCAGGACTGTAGAAAAAAATCGAACCATGATTATGTTTTAATGTGATTTATAGACACAGAGAGAAGAAAAAGGTGCTTGGGTTTCTAACAAATTCACAGTGTCTTAAAAAAGGAAATTACTCTACAAAGCAACTTGCATTTTTTTACATTATATAGCATTTTTTTGGAAATGGGGCAATTTTTTTTTTTTTTTAAAAATTTAAGTTTGAGGAATTAAACAGGCTTTTCTTGTTAGAATTTGGAATAATGATTAAGGCACCAGCAGGCTGAGTTCAAGTGCTACCTTAGCTATGAAAGCCAGCTGGGTAACTTTGGGCCAGTCACTCTCTCTCTCTCTCTCAACCCAAACCTTGTCATGGGATTGCTGTTATGGGGAAAATGGGAGGAGGAAGGTGTGTTGGATGTGTTAGTCACCTTGAGTTATTTGTAGAAATAAAGGCACAATACAAATAAATAAAAAATATAATGCCCCTGATATATTTGGTTGTCAAACCTGCAAGAGCAAGACAAGAAAACAGATTGCAGTGGTGAGAGAAAGTCTGTGGACTCTTTAGACTTATCCATAATATTTCAGCATTGTGACCTGCAATATGACCTGAACTTCATCTAAGGCCTGTTAATAAATAAAGAAATTCTGGTTAAACAGCACCTGAAAACAATGAATTGTAATTTTTTTTTAAAAAAAAAAAACACCACACTAAGCCAATATTAGTTATATGTTATTTGTTTCTAAAACTGTAGTTGAAGATTTAGTAATTGGTAGACCTCTTCTTTTAGCATTATAGAGAGCCCTCAATTTATAACTAATTAAACCTGCAATTATGGTCCCAATTCACAACAGTCATTAAGTGGGTCACGATGTGACCACCATTCAATTTTACAAACTTTTTTGTGGTGGCCATTAAGCAAACACTACTGCTAAGTAAGTTCCATGGTTATTAAGCAAGCCTGTTGTTTTCTATGGGGCATTTTTGCCAGAAACCTGCAAATGCAGATTGGTTACCAAGAACCCAAAATGCAGTCACGTGACTGTGAAGAGGGGATGATGGAATCAGAGACCAGTCATTGCAGGTGCAAAGATGTCTGACTGCCTTCGCAGTGTTTATTGCTTTTATACAGTTTTTCCAAGCAGCAAAAGATAAAATAGCAACAGCATTTTTATTGGTGGATTATCCTCGCCAATCCTTAAGAAATAACAGCCAGGGGGAACCATCCAGGGGCAGTATTCTGCAACATCCTGGTGGTGTGAACTTGGTGAGATCATGGAGGTGAGATCATGGAGGTATTTGAGCCACGGCAGTGTGCTGCACACGGCCTCTACATGACCTCTATCTCTACAAGGGGACATCTAAACTTTGAATTCCTCTGTAAATTGCTTTTTCCTTGTAACTTCAAACAGTCACTAAGCAACTGGTAATAAGTCGTGAACTAGCTTCAATATTTTCTTTGCCCATTCATCAGTCCCACACGTTACCATTTTTGACCCATTCCTGTTTGAAAAATTGCTTCAGCTCACACATCTTTTTGATCTGTCTTGCATGAATGTTTGCTTTAAGATATTCTACAACATTTCACTTGTTAAGGGTGGGTCTTTGACTCGGGCTTTCCGAAATTCAGTATTTATTCTGTTCTCTCAATATTTAAGCTTGTTCTATTATATTACCCACATTCTTTTGAGCTTCAATTTACAGACATATGTTCTGATCTTTTCCTGTAGAATTCATAAGGCCAGAATACATTGTTTGTAAAGCATCTAGGTCCGTGGTGGCGAACCTATGGCACGCGTGCCACAGATGGCACGCAGAGCCCTCTCTGTGGGCACTCACGCCATTGCCCCAATCCTAGGCCTTCAGCTGGGTTTTATAAAACCTTTTCGCTTTAGGCCTCCACCGCCGTGTGCAAAAAAAAAAAAAGGTTCAATCAATCAATCAATCAATCAATTTCACCTTCTTGGGGAAAAAAAGATCTCGCAAAGTTGGAATTGATTGATTGAACTTTTTAGTCCCACCCAATCTGCTGTTACCACTGCAGCCACGCCCACCCAATGGGCCACACCCACCCAGCACCCGATGATACATAAGTGGGTTTTGGGTTGCAGTTTGGGCACTCGGTCTCTAAAAGGTTCGCCATCACTGATCTAGGTTGTTACATATTTTTTCTAACAAAGGGGTTGTTAATTTGGCTAAAATCTCTTCATTAATAAGACTTAAATGAATCTCTGATTATGTTGTAAATTATGATACTACAGAAGTATGGATAATTCTAAAAGGTTCACAGATTTCCTTACCGCTATATCAGTTCTTGGTTCTATACTTATGCATAATCTGATTAGAGGAAAAAAGAAGAGTTTATAATTGAAAATATAGTATGGCAAAGGCGGAGAGTAGTTACAGACAGCATATGGAAGTGTATATTAAGGAAGTAGATGAGAGAAGTAGATTGTGCATGTCTGTTTTAAAAGTAAGTTGATTTAACGAATTTATGTTTCAAGATGTGTTATGGAATTCCTGACCAACAAGGTTTTAGTCTTTCTTTGAATAGGTAGTTTGGGTACAGTGTTCAGCTAATGCTTTCTGCCTGCTAATAGAAGAAATAAGCAGCATACTTTTCCTTTCCATTCCCTACTGTACATTTCCTTACATCTGCTTTGATGACAGCCTCAGCTCTTTGAAATGAATTTTTCAGCACAGAGAGAAAGAAAGAGGGGAAATGCAGATCAGTAATATTGTATAATTGCTGAATATATTTCAGTCATCAATGTGTGAAAAGTGAATGATTTGAAGGTTAATAAGTTCTTACATTTATGTTAGGCGTAATCTTTTAATATTAGTTTTATTACATTAAGCTTATCCAAATTGAAAGACAATTATTGGATGTTTGAGGCTAGTTGAATACAAAATGTGTCATATCTCACAGTCAGAATTGTCCCAGATTTGTAGCTGCAGAAACCAAATCACATGAAAGAGTATTATTCATAAATTATTCTTTCATTTAAAAATGTTACAAATAAAAATGTTTTTCTTTTTTTTTCTAGGTAAAGAGAAGAATTCTGGATGTTAAAGTTTTAAAATAATGTGAAGATTATTAAAGCAAATATGAATAAAGACTAATATTATGTGTGATGGAAGTGTGACAGTGGATCAGTCTGGAGCAGACAAATGTTATAGGACATAACTGTGGAAGAAGACTGCATTTTTGTTTTCTGTCAATTTTTTTTTTTTTAATGACAACCTTTGAAAATTGTGAGCCTCCCAGTCTGGATTTACTCTATGTACAAGTGATGCATCTTTAAAGAAGCAAAATTTACCTTCTATTTTAAAAAAGTAAAAACTATATTTATTAATGGTTTAAGAAGACTGAAACAGGACCAAACCTCCAGTTTGCTCCTCACAATTCCTCTTGAACGAAAAGGATTTTCAGCTCAGCATTCTACCAGCTGTTACTAGGATTTAGCACTTAAGAGAAAAATAAATGCAAGCAACTGCCACTCAGCCCTAGTTCCTGATGAAATCAGGGGGCAGAATTCTAGCCCTGGGAGAAAAAAAAGAGCATTCTGGAGGCAGAAAAACATATGTTCTAGACTAGCATATTTGCTAGTAATGTAACTCCCCAAACATCCCTCACAATGCATTGTTTTATCTTAAAAACAAATTAGAAAGGAAAAACTGCCTTGAAAATTATTGTTCGGTTTCTGAAAATAATATGAATTACTAATACATCAAAAACCATTGGGAGCTTATATCTAGTACACCATCTTTCTTGGAATTTTTCTCCAATACATCTTGTCTTCTTGCACTAAAAATTCCAATCCAGCTGCAGTTTTCTGCCTTATTGAACTATTTTTTTCACCTTCAGAAGATGATACTCTCCAGAAGCTACATGGTGACTGCTTTTTCCAGAATTTAATTTTACATTTTTATTTTTCAAAAAAAAAATAATCTTGGGATTAGGTTTATTCTCCTGATTGGATCCCGTGCTGTTCATTTAAGAATTCTATCCAGATTTATTCTGTTTTGTCAATGCCATCTTGATTTATAATTGTGCATAAGATCTGGCTCTTAACAGACAACTTGGAGAACTTGGATAATAACTTAAGCTTTCCCCCTGATTTCTTTGTTTTGTTTTGTGTTTTGAGAAAGCTTCTTTCCCTCATTTTCTTACCCTTCTTGACTCCTGTTGGGCCTGGGCTATGCTGCAGGGCAGATCATCCAGCAGAGCTCCAACATGCCAGCAGCATCTGGAAAGAGATTCAAACCTAGCAAGTATGTCCCAGTATCAGCTGCCGCAATCTTCTTAGTAGGAGCCACCACTCTCTTCTTCGCTTTTACGTGAGTCGGAAACTTCTATTACTGGGGTGTGCAGTGGAATGGACTGGGGAATCATAACAATGTGATATTGGTGTCTTTGCTTTTGAGCATCCATTACAAACCAGAGGCGTGCTCTGTTCCTTTAACTTTGCAGAGGTAGAGATAGGATTGAAGCAGCAAAACAAAAGGAGAATATAAAGTTTATGTAAGAGAAATTGATGTTGGAGTGTATGTCAGTATAGAAAAATTCTGTCTTTTGGTAGGAAGGAATAAAAGAGTCCAGTTTTGGTAATAGTGTTGAGGTGGCTTTATGTTTGATTTGTGGTTTTAGGCAATGCAGAATGGTGATGATCTTTGCCAAAAGTCAGCAACACATGGTACAAATCTTTATCTGCAACGTCTGATAGGAAAACTGCTGTCCTAAGAGCAAGAAACCTGTTAGGATAATAATTAGAATTTTTACTAGAATTTTACAAGGACACCTATCTGTAAAATATAACTGAAGATGGTGAATACAGGTACTCCTCGACTTACAACAGTTCATTTAGTGACCGTTCAAAGTTTCAACGGCACTGAAAAAAGTGACTTATGACTGTTTTTCATAGTTACAACCTTTACAGCATTCCCCATGATCGTGTGATCAAAATTATGTTGCTTTAACCAGGGTCGTGTGATCACCTTTTGCAGCCTTCTGACAAGTAAAGTCAGTTGGTAAGCCAGATTCACTTAAAAACCAGATTGCTAACTTATCAACTGCAGTGATTCACTTAACAACTGTGGCAAGGACGGTCATAACATGAGGCAAAACTCACTTAACAAATGTCTCACTTAACAACAAAACTTTTGGGCTCAATTGTGGTCGTAAGACGAGGACTACCTGTACTAAAAAGAAGCCCACTTTATTCTAAAATGTGCTAAGTGTGATAAACGTGTTGTGATAAACACGTTGGTAGCATTGTTGTATGTAGTTATCTAAGGCAGAGCTTTTCAACCAGTGGTACGTGTACCACCTGTGGTACATTGGCACCTGGCAGGTGGTATGCGACCATCCTAGAAAAGTGGTAGCGGGGGAGGGGAATGAGCTGAACTGGTGGCAGCACCGCACAAGCCTGAACGAGAGATGGCTGGAGCTGCAAGGCTGTCAGGGCTCAGCGGAAGCACCAGGATCAGTGCCGTTTTCCAGCTGATCGGCGCTTCTTTGGGGCTGTCAGGGCTCAGTGGAAGCGCCAGGATCAGCTCCAGGCTCCAGCTGGAAAGCAGCACTGATCCTGGCGTTTCTGCTGAGCCCAGAAGAAGCGCCGATCAACTGGAATGTTGCAGCATCTCCAGGGTTGTGATTTACATTCAGATGCTTGGCAACTGATTCATATTTATGACGGTCGCAGTGTCCCAGGGTCATGTGAAGTGACCAAAACCTGCTGCAACCACCCAGCAGACGGGGGGAATAAAAACCAAACACCCCCCACCCCACTCCCGCTGCCAATCCTCAACAGAAATGCTCACAACAATGAAAACATCGGACAGGAAGAAGAGCGCCGCCGGGCGGGCAGGCAGGTGTCTTGCTCGGCTATGGCTTGGGGGGCACTTTTTTCAGGGCCATTGTAACTTCAAATAGTCACTAAGCTAATTGTTGTAAGTTGAGGACTACCTGTACTTTATCACTTTTTTCCTTTTTTTTTTTTTTTTTTTTTTTTTTTTTTTTTTTTTTTTTTTTTTTTTTTTTTTTTTTTTTTTTTTTTTTTTTGGTTCATCAAGTTTTTGACACCTTGCTAGGTGACTGGTGGTACTCGGATGTTGCCATATCCTAAAAGTGGTACAGTGGGTGAAAAGGTTGAAAAGCCCTGATCTAAGGAATTCAGTGGATATTTTCATTTTATTTGGAACAGAATTGCTGCTGGATTTAATAATATGCAAAATTACTGTAAATGTGATCCTTTAAGTGTATTCTTGATTATTATTTATTAATATTGTGACTTTTCCCTTTAAATTAAATAATGACAGTAGCATAATAGCTGACATAATTAAAAGAATAACTACTATTTCTGTGCATTTAATTAAATAACATGGTTAAACTTTTAATCTTAACTTTATTTTTAGTCATACAAAATGTGAGCAATTTCAGACTGAAATCTAGTGTTATTTATCCATCTCTTATGTAAACCATGAGGATCCTCTGTTACATCATATAAGACGGCTGTGTATTTTGGACTCAAAGAAAAAGAATATACATAAGACCCATTTGCCCTCCTTGAAATCATGTACATCTTTTGGGAGGTTACTGTTGCAGTAACTTTGTGATTCCAGGGAGAAACAGTGTTTTTAAAGGAGTTGTCAACAGATGTATGAGTGTAGATGCATGCTTTTTCCTTTGAATTTAAACCACTGCTAATTCATAGTGGCCTTTCTACTAACATTTGAAATTAGAATAAGGAACTACTTCCTGTACTAAACAAATATTTAATGTGCCACTTTATCTCTAACAAACTTTTGAATATATTCTAATGTAGCCCAAATATTTTAACCTGCATTGGTACCAGATTACCATTTAAGAATTATTGGTGTCCATATATGCATGGTAATATGATACTGAGAGTGATATAAGAATATGCGTATTTTAAATATTTTATGTGTATTTTAAGTTTTAGAATAGACCAGACATGTCAAACACAAGGCCCGGGGGCCAGATGCGGCCCGCAAAGTGGTTTCATGTGGTCCACGAAGCCATCCTGGAAACAGTGAGAGAACAGCCCCCGCTGCCTTGGCCCTGGCCCAGACCGGCAGGGAGCCAATGTACAATTTTGTGGTGGCCATCTATGCTGCCATCACAAGACTGTCTGGAAACAGTGAGGAACCAGCCCCTGCCATGTCAGCCCTGTCCCCTGGGTGCACGCTGGGGAGGTGTCACCCTTTGTAAAGAATGAAGAAATGCACCATCGCCTGGAAGTGGCCAGCAAATGGCCCTTGCCTACTTCACATATCCGGCTTGATGGGCTCCGGGGGAGGGATTTCGGCAGCGGGTGCTCGAGGGCCTGGCTGGGCATTTGACCTCTGCTGCCCAGGGCTCCGGGCAGCCCGCACCACCATCCAGCCCCCCCCGCATGGCCTGAGAGGAATGGTGAATGCCTTGGCACTTGCCCTGGTCCCACCCCCTTCTGCCAGAGACCCTCAGATCTGTCCCACTCCTGCCCAGGCCCCCACAGGCCCCCTTGACACAAACCATGTAGAGCTGGCCATGCTCACCCAATAGGCCACACCCACCTAGTAGGCCGCAGCTACCCTGGCCACACCCATCCAGCCCCCGGAAGGCAACCACAATGCTGATGCGGCCCTCAATGAAATTGAGTTTGATACCCCTCGAATAGACGATCTCCAAACAAAACAAAATTTATCTATTTTTAAAATATTTATATTTTTCTAAACATAAAGAAACTTACAAAAGAGAAAAATGAATATAGGTAATATAGGAAAAATGAATAGGAACAAATGTGTAGGTTCACCAAAAATTTAAAAATTTATGTGACTTGTCAAATACATACTTTAAAAACTGCTTTCAAAACTGAAAAAATGTTTAAACATTGAAGTTGTTAAACAAATGTTAAAAATGATATATATTTTCAAAAAATAGAACATAAAAAATAAAACAATTCATGTATAATTTAAATTAAATTATATTATTTGACATTTTAATTAAATTTTTAGAGGTATTTGTTAAAATACTGTTCAGTTTCTGCTTTGATTAAATATCTTTTCAGGTACCTACCCATCTGTGTATACACATGGATATTCTGTATGTATGTGTGTATGTATATACCAAATATATATACCTACATATCAAAATATATATTTACATAGTAATAGTGAAACATGACTGGCCTGAGGGATTTTAAAGGGGGTTTTAATTACTTTTAAATTGGACATATTTAAATATTTCGTTTTAATCAAATTTTAATTAAGTATGTATATATGTTAGTATTTTATTCAATTGTCAGCCGCCCTGAGTCCGTAAGGAGAAGGGCGGGATATAAATGCAATTAATAAATAAATAAAATAAATAAATGATGAACTTTCTTCTTAAAAAACTCATATCAGATTGTATCCTGCAAAGTATCAATGTTTAATTTTGAAATGTGAATATGAATAAACCCAATACTGCAAACATGCTGCAGTATTAGTGCATAATGAATGGTTTAATCATATCCAATGACTGCTGAGAATATCCAGGGCTAAATGTTTTTAGATTAGTCCATCTATGGTATATTACTCCTCTGATCTAGGAATAACAGTTCTTTTGGAATAAACCAAAATGGGGGGAAATCCTACAACAAATCATGCTTCTACTACACAAACTAAAGAAAGATATTACTGTTTGTTTCTCAGGTTTGTTCTCAGAGGAACAAGTCAGAGTTTCTAATTCTTATAGTATGACATACTATGGAAGAACTTTCTGTGGTTTGTAGGGAAAATGATGGCGTACACAGAGTAAAATGCAGTAGCATACAATATGCTAATCAGATTTCTGAAGAATTTTTGCTTATTTTATGAATAGAGTTACAATCTTATATAGCTGTCATTAGTGTCGGAAAGCATATTTGTGAACAGTAAATTATTCTCTGTAACAATAATGGTTGAGAACTATTCTGTAAATGAATTCACTTACTCTCGTCACTATCTCAATCTCTTCTAGCAAGTAAATTTGGGGAGGTAAATGAAGGGACAATGAATTGCATAAATAAAAATCTGCTCAGCAAACGTTGCATATAGCTGATTTACAGCATTGAATTGTTTGATGGTCATTCTTCAATGCTATAGATCAGGCATACTCAACTTTTGGAGCCAAGGGCAAACTTGACATTTTATTAACATATAATGGGTGGACAAAGATATCAGCCACTGTGATAGACAGTCATAAAACAATTTGCTCAAACGTGAACTGCTGAGGTTGTTGGCTCTTTGGTTTTCACTATCAATTCCTACTTTATCCTTGCTTTTTCCTGGGCAGGTGAGCAGATTTATAAACAAGG